TCAGGTTTATCAAAGATTGTATGGTTGTAGATATGTTGTGTTGCCTTTGATGCCTCTGTTCTGTTCCATTAGTCTATATCTCTGTTTCGGTACCAGTACCATGCTGTTTTGATTACTGTAGCCTTGCAGTATGCTTTGAAGTCCGGTAGTGAGATGCCTCCCGCTGTGTTCTTTTTGCTTAGAATTGGCTTGGCTATGTGGGCTCTCTTTTGGTTCCATATGAAGTTCAAGGTGGTTTTCTCCAGTTCTGTGAAGAAAATCAATGGTAGCTTGATGGGGATAGCGTTGATTCTGTAAATTACTTTGGGCAGTATGGCCATTTCCACAATATTGATTCTTCGTAACCATGAACATGGAATGTTTCTCCATCTGTTTGTGTCCTCTCTTATTTCGTTGAGCAGTGGTTTGTAGTTTTCCTTGAAGGGGTGCCTTACATTCCTTGTAAGTTGTATTCCTAGGTATATTATTCTCTTTGTAGCAATTGTTCGTTCTTGATTTGGCTCTCTTTCAGTCTGTTATTGGTGTATAGGAATGCCTGTGATTTTTGCACATTGATTTTGTATCCTGAGACTTTGCTGAAATTGCTTATCAGTTTCAGGAGTTTCTGGGCTGAGAAGATGGGGTCTTCTAGATATACAATCATGTCATCTGCAAATAGAGACAATTTGGATTCCTCCTTTCCTACTTGAATACCCTTTATTTCTTTTTCTTGCCTGATTGCTCTGGCTAGAACTTCCAGTACTATATTTAATAGGAGTGGTGAGAGAGGGCATCCTTGTCTAGTGCCAGATTTCAAAGGGAATGCTTCCAGTTTTTGCCCATTCAGTATGATATTGGCTGTTGGTTTGTCATAAATAGCTTTTATTATTTTGAGATACGTTCCGTCAATACTGAGTTTATTGAAGGTTTTAGCATAAAGGGCTGTTGAATTTTGTCAAAGGCCTTCTCTGCGTCAATTCAGATAATCATGTGGTTTTTGTTTTTGGTTCTGTTTATGTGGTGAATTACGTTTATAGACTTGCGTATGTTGAACCAGTCTTGCATCCCTGGGATGAATCCTACTTGATCATGATGGATAAGCTTTTTGATGTGCTGTTGCAATCGGCTTGCCAGCATTTTCTTGAAGATTTTTGCATCTATGTTCATCATGGATATTGGCCTGAAGTTTTCTTTTCTTGTTGGGTCTCTGCTGGGTTTTGGTATCAGGATGATGTTGGTCTCATAAAATGATTTGGGAAGGATTCCCTCTTTTTGGATTATTTGGAATAGTTTCAGAAGGACTGCTCACAGTTCCTCTTTGCATGTCTGGTAGAATTGGGCTGTGAACCCATCTGGACCTGGGCTTTTTTTGTGTGGTAGGCTCTTAATTGATGCCTCGACTTCTGACCTTGTTATTGGTCTATTCATAGTTTCAGCTTCCTCCTGGTTTAGGCTTGGGAGGATACAGGATTCCAGGAATTTATCCATTTCTTCCAGGTTTACTAGTTTATGTGCATAGAGTTGTTTGTAATATTCTCTGATGATGGTTTGAATTTCTGTGGAATCTCTCGTGATTTCCCCTTTATCATTTTTTATTGCATCTATTTGGTTGTTCTCTCTTTTCTTTTTAATCAATCCGGTTAGTGGTCTGTCTATTTTGTTGATCTTTACATAAAACCAGCTCTTGGATTTATTGATTTTTTGAAGGGTTTTTCATGTCTCAATCTCCTTCAGTTCAGCTCTGATCTTAGTTATTTCTTGTCTTCTGCTGCGTTTTGAGTTTTTTTGATCTTGCTCCTCTAGCTCTTTCAATTTTGATGATAGGGTGTCAATTTTGGATCTCTCCATTCTCCTCATATGGGCACTTATTGCTATATACTTTCCTCTAGAGACTGCTTTAAATGTGTCCCAGAGGTTCTGGCATGTTGTGTCTTCGTTCTCATTGGTTTCGAAGAACTTCTTTATTTCTGTCATCATTTCATTGTTTATCCAGTCAACATTCAAGAGCCAGTTGTTCAGTTTCCATGAAGCTGTGCGGTTCTGGGTTGGTTTCTGAATTCTGAGTTCTAACTTGATTGCACTATGATCTGAGAGGCTGTTTGTTATGATTTCAGTTGTTTTGCATTTGTTTAGCAGTGCTTTACTTCCAATTATGTGGTCAATTTTTGAGTAGGTGCTGAGAAGAATGTATATTCTGTGGATTTGGGGTGGAGAGTTCTGTAAATGTCTATCAGGTTTGCTTGCTCCAGGTCTGAGTTCAAGCCCTGGATATCCTTGTTGATTTTCTGTCTGGTTGATCTGTCTAATATTGACAGTGGAGTGTTAAAGTCTCCCACTATTATTGTGTGGGAGTCTAAGTCTCTTTGTAAGTCATTAAGAACTTGCCTTATGTATCTGGGTGCTCCTGCATTGGGTCCATATATGTTTAGGATTGTTAGCTCTTCTTGTTTTATCGATCCTTTTACCATTATGTAATGGCCTTCTTTGTCTCTTTTGATCTTTGTTGCTTTAAAGTCTATTTTATCAGAAATGAGAATTGCAACTCCTGCTTTTTTTTGCTCTCCATTTGCTTGGTAAATCTTCCTGCATCCCTTTATTTTGAGCCTTTGTGTATCCTTGCATGTGAGATGGGTTTCCTGGATACAGCACACTGATGGGTTTTGGATTTTTATCCAATTTGCCAGTCTGGGTCTTTTGATTGGTGCATTTAGTCCATTTACATTTAGGGTTAATATTGTTATGTGTGAATTTGATACTGCCATTTTGATGCTAAGTGGCTGTTTTGCCTGTTGGTTGTTGTAGATTCTTCATTATGTTGATGCTCTTTTAATTTTAGTGTGATTTTGGAATGGCTGGTACTGGTTGTTCCTTTCTATGTGTAGTGCCTCTTTTAGGAGCTCTTGTAAAGCAGGCCTGGTGGTGACAAAATCTCTGAGTACTTGCTTGTTCGCAAAGGATTTTATTTTTCCTTCACTTCTGAAGCTCAGTTTGGCTGGATATGAAATTCTGGGTTGAAAGTTCTTTTCTTTAAGGATGTTGAATATTGGCCCCCACTCTCTTCTGGCTTGTAGTGTTTCTGCCGAGAGATCTACTGTGAGTCTGATGGGCTTCCCTTTGTGGGTAACTCGACCTTTCTCTCTGGCTGCCCTTAGTATTTTCTCCTTTATTTCAACCTTGTTGAATCTGATGATTATGTGCCTTGGGGTTGCTCTTCTTGCAGAATATCTTTGTGGTGTTCTCTGTATTTCCTGCATTTGAGTGTTGGCCTGTCTTGCTAGGTGGGGGAAGTTTTCCTGGATGATGTCCTGAAGAGTATTTTCCAGCTTGGATTCATTCTCTTCGTCCCCTTCTGGTACGCCTATCAAACGTAGGTTAGGTCTTTTCACATAGTCCCACATTTCTTGGAGACTTTGTTCATTCCTTTTTGTGCTTTTTTCTCTAATCTTGGTTTCTCGTTTAATTTCATTGAGTTGGTCTTCGACTTCAGATATTCTTTCTTCTGCTTGGTCAATTCGGCTATTGAAACTTGTGCATGCTTCGCAAAGTTCTCGTATTGTGTTTTTCAGCTCCTTTAATTCATTCATATTCCTCTCTAAGTTATCCATTCTTGTTATCATTTCCTCATATCTTTTTTTAAGTTCCTTAGTTTCTTTGCATTGATTTAATACATGATCTTTTAGCTCACAAAAGTTTCTCATTATCCATCTTCTGAAGTCTAATTCCGTCATTTCGTCACAGTCATTCTCCGTCCAGCTTTGCTCCCTTGCTGGTGAGGAGTTTTGGTCCTTTCTAGGAGGCGAGGTGTTCTGGTTTCGGGTGTTTTCCTCCTTTTTTCGCTGGTTTCTTCCCATCTTTGTGGGTTTATCTGCTTGTCGTCTGCGTAGTTGCTGACTTTTCGATTGGGTCTCTGAGTGGACACCCAGATTGTTGATGATGAAGTATTTCTGTTACTTGGTTTTCCTTCTACCAGTCTAGCCCCTTCGCTGTATGACTGCTGAGGTCCACTCCAGGCCCTGCTTGTCTGGGGTGCACCTCTAGCAGCTGTGGCACAGTGAGGGATGCTACCCTTTTCTTTTTCTGCTATCTTTGTCCCAGGATGATGCCTGCCAAATGTCAGTCTTTTGGATATAGAGGGGTCAGGGAGCTGCTTGAGGAGACAGTCTGTACTTTTTTGGAGCTCAATTGCTGAACTGTGAGCTCTGTTGTTCATTCAGGGCTGTTAGGCTGCTGTGTTTGATTCTGCTGCAACAGAGCTCATTAAAAAAAAAACCCTTTTTTTCTCAAATGCTCTGTGTTGGGGGGTTTGGGCTTTATTTTTCAATGTCCGTTGAGGTGTCCTGCCCAGCTAGAAGGCAGACTAGCCACTGTTTGCCTGCCGAGGCTCCGCCCTGCTATTGTGTGATTCGCCCTGTTCCTGCAGGCTCTGCTGTGGTCTCCACCACGCCGTGCGGTGGAGTCTCTTCGTTGTAGCGTGTTGCCTCGGCAACGGCAGACTGCGTCACCAGTGGGCGTGTATCTCAGTAGGGACGGGTTGCCTTGGCAACAGAAGGCTGCGTCAGCAGTGGGCATGTATCTCAGTAGGGACGGGTTGCCTCGGCACCGGCTTGCTGCGTCAGCAGTGGGCGTGTATCTCAGTTGGGGCGTGTTGCCTCGGTAGTGGTGGACGCCCCACCCCCACAGAGCGTCTCGGACCGTCTGCTCGGGATAGTTTGAAATTACGGTTTTGTTCGTCCCACTGGGTATCCCAAACGATCTGTCCCTGCAATCCCCTGGGCTGGCCTACTGTCCAAGTCTCATTCAGTCTCAAGTCCAGCCCTCTCAAGTCTCAGGTTGCCGGTTCAACAGGGCACCCAGACAAGCGCGCCCTGTGGGGATTGCTCGGTAGGGCCGGCCGCCGCCGCCCCGGCTGCCGGCTTCGCCAGGCAGACCTACTTCCTGGCGTCCCATGTCTTTTTTATACTTGGGAGTTTCCCCGTTCTGTGGGCAACAAAGATCAGTCTGGAAATGCAGCTCTGACTCACCTGTTTGCGGATTCAACGAGAGCTCCAATCCTGGGTTGTTCTCACAGCGCCATCTTGAGTCCTCCCCCACTCTTTCAGTTTTGATGACAGGGTGTCAATTTTGGATCTCTCCACTCTTCTCATGTGGGCACTTATTGCTATATATTTTCCTCTAGAGACTGTTTTAAATGTGTTCCAGAGATTCTGGTATGTTGTGCCTTTATTCTCATTGGTTTCGAAGAACTTCTTTATTTCTGCCTTCATTTTATTGTTTATCTAATCAACATTCAAGAGCCAGTTGTTCAGTTTCCATGAAGCTGTGTGGTTCTGAATTCGTTACTGAATTCTGAGTTCTAACTTGATGGCACTATGATCTGAGAGACAGTTTGTTATGGTTTCAGTTGTTTTGCATTTGCTGAGGAGTGCTTTACTTCCAATTATGTGGTCAATTTTTGAGTAGGTGTGATGTGGTGCTGAGAAGAATGTATATTCTGTGGATTTGGGGTGGAGAGTTCTGTAAATGTCTATCAGGTTTGCTTGTTCCAGGTCTGAGTTCAAGCCCTGGATATCCTTGTTAATTTTCTGTCTGGTTGATCTGTCTAATATTGACAGTGACTGTTAATGTCTCCCACTATTATTGTGTGGGAGTATAAGTCTGTTTGTAAGTCATTAAGAACTTGCCTTATATATCTGGGTGCTCCTGTATTGGGTCCATATATATTTAGGATCCTTAGCTCTTCTTGTTGTATCGATCCTTTTACCATTATGTAATGTTCTTCTTTGTCTCTTTTGGTCTTTGTTGCTTTAAAGTCTATTTTATCAGAGATGAGAATTGCAACTCCTGCTTTTTTTTTTTTTTTTTTGTTTGCTCTCTATTTGCTTGGTAAATCTTCCTCCGTCCCTTTATTTTGAGCCTTTGTGTATCCTTGCATGTGAGATGGGTTTCCTGGATACAGCACTCTGATGGGTTTTGGCTTTTTATCCAATTTGCGAGTGTGTGTCTTTTGTTCGGTGCATTTAGCCCATTTACATTTATGGTTAATATTGTTATGTGTGTATTTGATACTGCCATTTTGATGCTAGCTGGCTGTTTTGCCCATTAGTTGATGCAGATTCTTCAATTGTTGATGCTCTTTACCGTTTGGTATGTTTTTGGAGTGGCTGGTACTGGTTGTTCCTTTCTATGTGTAGTGCCTCTTTCAGGAGCTTTTGTAAAGCAGGCATGGTGGTTACACAATCTGTGAGTACTTGCTTGTTTGCAAACGATTTTATTTTTCCTTCACTTATGAAGCTTACTTTGGCTGGATATGAAATTATGGGATGAAAGTTCTTTTCTTTATGGATGTTGAATATTGGTCCCCACTCTCTTCTGGCTTGTAGGGTTTCTGCCGAGAGATCTGCTGTGAGTCTGATGGGCTTCCCTTTGTGGGTGCCCCGACCTTTCTCTCTGGCTGCCCTTAGCATTTTTTCCTTCATTTCAACCCTGGTGAATCTGATAATTATGTGCCTTGGGGTTGCTCTTCTTGAGGAATATCTTTGTGGTGTTCTCTGTATTTCCTGGATTTGAATATTGGCCTGCCTTGCTAGGTTGGGGAAATTTTCCTGGATAGTATCCTGAAGAGTATTTTCCAGCTTGGATTCATTCTCTTTGTCACATTCAGGTACACTTATGCAACGTAGGTTAGGTCTTTTCACATAGTCCCACATTTCTTGGAGACTTTGTTTCATTCCTTTTTGCACTTTTTTCTCTAATCTTGGCTTCTCGTTTTATTTCAATGAGTTGATCTTCGACTTCTGATATCCTTTCTTCTGCCTGGTCAATTCAGCTGTTGAAACTTGTGCATGCATTGCGAAGGTCTCATGTTGTGTTTTTCAACTCCTTCAAATCACTCATATTCCTCTCTAAGTTGTCCATTCTTGTTATCATTTCCTCAAATATTTTTTCAAGGTTCTTAGTTTCTTTGCATTGATTTAGAACATGTTCTTTTAGCTCATGGAAGTTTCTCATTACCCACCTTCTGAAGTCTGATTCCGTCATTTCGTCACACTCATTCTCTGTCCAGCTTTGTTCCCTTGCTGGTGAGGAGTTCTGGTCCTTTGTAGGAGGCGAGGTATTCTGGTTTCATGTGTTTTCCTCCTTTTTGCGCTGGTTTCTTCCCATCTTTGTGGATTTATCCACCTGTCTTCCAGGTGGTTGCTGATTTTCCAATTTGGTCTCTGAGTGGACTTCCAGATTGTTGATGATGAAGTATTTCTTTTTCTTAGTTTTCCTTCTAACAGTCTGGCCTCACTTCTGTAGGACTGCTGAGGTCCACTCCAGGCCCTGCTTGCCTGGGGAACTCCTGTAGCAGCGGCGGAACTGTGACGGTTGCTACCAGATTATTCTTCTGCTATCTTTGTCCCTGAATGATGCCCACCAAATGTCAGTCTGATCAGTCCTTTGTGAGGTGAGTCTTTGGATATAGGGGGCTCAGAGAGCTGCTTGAGGAGACAGTTTGTACTTTATAGGAGTTCTAGTGCTGAGCTGTGAGCTCCGTTGTTCATTCAGGGCTGCTAGGCAGGTTCGTTTAAGTCTGTTGCAACAGAACTTATAAAGCCCCCCCTTTTTTATTCCTCAGGTGCTCTGTCCCGGGAAGTTAGGGCTTTATTTATGAGTATTCGTTGCACTTTCCTGCCCAGCAAGGAGGCAGTTTAATCACTGCCTGCCTGTAGTGGCTATTATGAGCTGCTGTGGGCTCCGCCCTGTTGCCATGGGCTCTGCCCTGCTGCCGTGGGCTCTGCCCTCCTGCCCTGTGTAATTCCCTGTAGTCCTGTTTATATATGGGTGTGGTTAGAACTGCAGTGGCGATGGTGGCCCGCCTCTGTAGTGGTGGACTCTCTGTTATGGCGGGTTGCCTTGGAAATGGCAGGCTGCGTCAGCAATGGCAGCGTACCTCCGTAGGGGTCGCATGCCTCGGTAGTGGAGGACACCCCTCCCCCACCAAGCTGCACTGTCCTGGGTTCAGCTGTGCTTGCCATGAAACTCTCAACCCCAAGCGTTTTCAGTTGCTATTTTGTTTGTTATTGTGGGGGTGGGACCCATCGAGCCTGATCACCTGGCTTCCTGCCTCAGAGCCCCCCCCCCGCCTTTTTTTTTTAAGTTGAACGGTTGACTCTCTCCCAGTTGTTCCAGTCACCTGCTGCAAGGGTGCCGAGATCTGTGTGATTTCCCATGCAGTGACCCACTGCCAGCTCAAACCATGTTGCTGCCTGGGAATCTCCTGGACTGGCTTTCTGTTTAAGTCCCATTTAATCAGATGAATGTGCTAATGTGCCTTCCGAAATCTCCAATTGCTGGTTTAACAGGGCAACCAAACCCGAGTATTTTGTACGGAGTGTCGCTGCACTGTGGTCTCGGCCCAAACAGCCGTACTGGCCCAAACTGCTGCACTGGTGGCCGGTGGGGCTCTTACACCTGGGAATCTAGTCTGTGGACAATAAAGATCCGTATAAAAATGCAGCATCCACTCACCCTCTGCAGATTAACTGGGAGCTGCAATCCTGAGTTGGTCCTACAGAGCCATTTTCATCCTTCTCCCGACCAGGATGGTCTTGATCTCTTGACCTCATGATCCACCCACCTCGGCCTCCCAAAGTGCTGGGATTACAGGCTTGAGCCACCATGCCTGGCCTAGTTTTGGGTTTCATTTGTTCTTCTACTTCAAGTTTCTTATGGTATAAAGTCAGGTTATTGATTTTAGATCTTCTTTTTTAATGTAGACATTCATAGCTATAAATTTCCCTTTAGCACTGCTTTTACTGCATCCCATAAGTTTGTTGTGTTTTTGTCTCTAAGTATTTTATAATTTCTTTTGTGTTGCTTTTGCCTGTGACTCATTGGTCATTTGAGTGTTTTGTTTAATTTTAACATATTTGTGAATTTTCCAGTTTTACTTCTGTTACTGATTCCTGTTGTGGTCAGAGAAGAAACTTTGTGTGATATGTATTCTTAAAATAGATTGAGACTTATTTTGTGGCCTAACATATGGTCTGTCTAAGAATGTCCTACATGCACTTGAGATGAATGTTTATGCTGATGTTGTTGGGTAGTGTGTTCTTTATATGTGTAGATGTAATTATTGTGTTGTTCATGTCCTCTATTTCTTTATTTTCTAACTGTTTGTTCTATCTATTATTGAAAGTGGGTGAATGAAGTTTGCTACCATTGTTGTAGAACTGTATCTCTCTTCAATTCTGTCAAGTTTTGCTTCATAAATTTGACGGTCTATTATTAGGTATATAAATATTTATAATTGTTATATCTTCATGCTATATTGACTTTTCTTATAATATAATGTTTCTGTTTGCCCTTGGAAACTTTTTTGATTTAAAGCTTATTTTGTCTGATATTAGTACAACTACCCCAGCTCTCTTTTGGTTACTATTTGCATTGAATTATCGTTTTCTATTCTTTCACTTTTGATCTATTTTTATCTTTCATAGACAGCATATAGTTAGATTCTAGAATTTGCTGGGGTTTTTTTGTCAATCTGTCTTTTCCTTGGACATTTTATTTATATTTAAAGTAATTACTGATAAAGAGGGATTTCTATTTTGCTATTTGTTTTCTATATGCCTTTTAGGGTTTTTTTTTTTGTACCTCATTTCCTCTATTACTGCCATCTTTTGTGTTTAGCTTACTTTTTATAGTAAATGTTGATTCTCTGATGATTTCCATTTATGTATATTCTACAGGTATTTTTTGTGTTTACCATGAGAATTACATTTAACATCCTAATGTTGTAACAAACTCATTTGAATTTATACCAACTTAACTTCAGTAGCATACAAAATCTCTGGTCCTATATTGCTTCACTCGTCCCTTTCTATTGATGGCACTAATTACATCTTTATACATTGTGTGCCCAATAATAGGCTAAGCTTGTAAAAAGTTCTTTCTTAGCTGTCCTAAGAGGAACCAAGGGAGGAAGTGTTCACCCATGGACCAGTGCTTTAAATGATCAGCAGAATATTCCTTAGATCAGAGTAATGTCACAGTGGGCAAACCCTAAAGAATATGAATAATCAGAAGGATAAAATTTAGGCTATTTGGGCAACCACATTGTCTCACTTGAAGATATTCCTTCCAGAACTGAACTCCTGATGTCTCTGGGTTTTGTTTTCACTAAAGATAATTCCCTCTTTCCTAGGGGATAGTCTCTATTATGGTCTATCTTCAGCTGTATGCAGACTGCAGTTTGGGGCTAGCACACAGAAGGCAACATGCTCCTCATCCTTGGGAGCGTGTTCTTGCTGAGTGCACTCAAAAGACATACAAAGATGAATCATAGGAGATCCCAGTTCCCTAGGGACTGTAAGTTTGTGCAGCTGCTCACAACTAACTTACCTTAAGGTAGAACATATGGCTCTCTCTTATTGGTGCCTAGGACATTGTGCCTAGGACATTTTGCCTTGTCCCTCCAGAGCAGCATTTTATGTGATTTCTTTTTGCCTCTCTACTGCATCTGTGTCCAACACATTTGCTGACTTAACGTATTGGATGGGACATTTGTAGGTTCCCTACAACACTTTACTGCTAGGAGAATTATTTGAACCTAACAAATACATATGCAAATATATATGTTTATACTTTTGCAAACTTGATCTGTATAAGTAGTTCCTAGACCAGTGATTTTCAGACCTTGCTACTCATCAGAATCACCTGAGGAAACTTCGCCAAACCCAGATTCCTATGTTCCAACCACAAAGATTACTTTAATGAGTATTAGGTGGAAGCCAGGAATCTACATTTTCAAAAGCTACCCAGGTAATTCTGATATGCAGTCAGCATAGAGAATCACAGCCCTTTGACTGCCTAAGAAAATTCAGTAGTTAAAAAAAGCTATATAAACTGTCTTCTATTCTTTAGGGAGATTCTATGTTAGTATAGCATACAGTCAAGAACACTACCAATGCAGCCACTTCCTAGCTGTTATCTTTAGACAAATTACCTAGTTGTTCAGAGCTTCAGTTTATTGATGTGTAAAGTAGGAGATACAGGTTTACTATAAGGATTTATGTAAAGCCTTAGCACAGTAGCTGTACTATAGCACACAATAAATGTTGGCCAGACTTATTCTGCTGTACACATGAGCCACTGGATTTGTCCGGATGCAGAAGTCTTCAACAGTACACCTTCTTTTTTTTTGAGACGGAGTTTCGCTCTTGTTACCCAGGCTGGAGTACAATGGCGTGATCTCGGCTCACAGCAACCTCCGCCTCCTGGGTTCAGGCAATTCTCGTGCCGCAGACTCCCGAGTAGCTGGGATTACAGGCATGCGCCACCATGCCCAGCTAATTTTTTGTATTTTTAGTAGAGACGGGGTTTCACCATGTTGACCAGGATGGTCTCGATCTCTTGACCTCGTGATCCACCCACCTCAGCCTCCCAAAGTGCTGGGATTACAGGCGTGAGCCACCGCGCCTGGCCCACAGTTCACCTTCTTGAGCCAACTTTTGAGAAAGCCAGGGAGGTTTCCTGGCCCCACAGGAAGTGCAATACCAAAGCCAAGTCACAGGGAGGGGACTTACTCTTGGCGCACACTTGCTGGCGGGGCTCGGGTTGTTGCTCCGCGCGCTTCCACCAGGGGCCGTTGGAGCTACCCAAGCTCCCTGCGCCTACCCGGCGGCGTCCCCGCGCGTGCCCACTAGGCGCAGCGCGCGCCCCGGAATCGCGGGAGCCACCTCCGCCTTAGGCCTCCGCTCCCCAAGCGACTGCCCAAACTAAGCCTCGGTGGCTGGATACGGGAGCGCTCTGGAGACAAATATCCTCCCTCCATTGTGGTCTGCATTCCTCCGGCCCCAGAGCAACTCTGGGACGGAAAGTATTAGCGTCTGTTGCGCTGCAGCCTGGGAGGAAGGAGGAAGCCGATCCCGGGGCGGAGTTCGGGCTAGACCGAGAGACGCCGGCGCCGCCCGGATGTTGCGATGGCTGATCGGGGGAGGCCGAGAGCCGCAGGGACTGGCCGAGGTAAACCCCGGGCGGGCCCACTCTGCGCCCACGGAGGCCAAGTTTGTCCGAGGGGCGGCTTCGTTTCTGTACGGCCTCCAAGGTTCCGACCGCGGGGACCAGGGCGGAGGCGGGGCTGGCTGCTGAGCTCGTGCCGTGAGCTGGGGCCGGCGGGGGGCCAAAGGCGGGAAGGCCAGAGCTTCTCGGACGCGGCGGGCCCCCCTGCGCACCCTGGAGCTGCAGACCCCACGCCCAGTGCCACGGCAGGTCGAATTGTGAGACCTTGGCTCTGGGACGCTCAGCTGGTCAGCAGTCCTGTTGGGACCTGTGACAACTTACGGCTTCTGACTATCGAAACCATCTTCATTTCCACTTAAAAAGTATTCGATTTAGCTAGAAACGAACGAGTTTTGACCGCAGCTTTCCACTTTGGGTTTATTTGATCTGGTGCCTCTTCCTAGCATCAACTGATACTTGCTCAGGGAATTTAAAAGTGATTTACCTATCCACGAACCGAAAAAGGATATAATTATGTTTAAAAAGTAATAATTTGCTTCAAGGTCAAGAACATGATTTTCTAAGGAACTGCTGTTGGTTTCATAGTCACACTTTCTTCATGGGCCCGAATAATTGAATAGACCGTGGGTAATGAGATTTTACATTTGAAATTTGAATAAAATAATTTTTTCAATCTTGAAAATGTTGAGGTCTGGAATTTATTTCCTATGCCGCATAAGAACAGAATTTGTGAATTCCATTTTATTTCTCATAAGTATTTGTTTTGATTGTTAAAAGTAAGATATTGGATTGAGAGTACTCAGTCTTCTCAGTTTTAACTTCCTCATGTCTTTGCAGTTGAGGGTATTGTCTGTTTTTAAAGTTTCTTATTTCAGATCAATCCTAAATCCTTGAGACCGTGGAAGAAGTATGGATTACTGAATAGCTGTATATGGATATATGACAATTTGGATAATCTGTTTTAACCCGGTTCTTTGGTTAGTCATATAATTGGATTAACCAGTTCTCCCATTCCTGGCAAGTTTTCATTGGAAGGGAAGCAGTTTATACAGTTTTCAAATTTCTCACCAGAACCTCTGCTAGAAGGAAGGCAGAATAATACAGAATTACTGCTTTGTGGTGGATTTTTTTTTGTAAAACATTTATACATATTTTAAATTTATATATTTTTTTATATAAAGATACTTCAGTTGTATAACTGCTGTGAACTTGTACATTATTAGAACCTATGATTTTCCCTAATTTATGCAAGAACTTTGTATGCAGCCTTCTCATTTAAGCAGTGGTTCTCAAATGGGGTGTTTTTGCCCCGCAGGAGACACTTAGTAGTATCTGGAGACATTTTTGATTGTCATACCTTGCAGAGGGTCAGTTGTATTGGCATCTAATGTGTATAGACCAGGGATGCTGCTAAATATTCCACAATGCACAGGACAGCCCGCAACAACTAAGAATTACCTGGGCTGGGCGTCGTGGCTCACGCATATAGTCTCAGCACTTTGGGAGGCTGAGGCAGGTGGATCACTTGAGGTCAAGGAGTTCAAGACCAGCCTGGCCAACAGGACAAAACCCTGTCTCTACTAAAAATACAAAAATTAGCTGGGCCTGGTGGCGCCCAGGTTCTCAGGAAGATGAGGCAGGGAGAGGCAGAGATTGCAGTAAGCTGAGATAGTACCATTGCACTTCAGCCTGGGTGACAGGGCAAGACTCTGTCTTTAAAAAAAAAAAAAAAAATTATCTGGCCCAAAATGTCAGCGTCAAGTTTGAGAAATCCAGACTTGAGTTTATTGAATTCATTGAGTCTAAATGATTTCATGCCTTCCTTTATTCACTTAGCAATCATGTATTGATTGCTTGTAATGGATGAGGCACTGTTTTAAGTCTTTGGTTTGCAGTTTTGTTTCTGCCACATTTTAACTGAGAAACATGCATTCTAAAATGTTGAGTTGGATTGGCCCATTAATTTTTTTAAGTCAGGTTTAATAGGATACAATTTACGTAAAATAAAATTCACCCTTTTTGTAAATTTATTGTGATTTGAAAATAAATTTGTGATACAAATTTGTGGTAGGAGAAGTGATTTATTTTTTGTTTATTTTTTTAGAGGGGGCCCCTTAATAGATCTAAAAATACAAAATAAAGCTTAAATATCCAAGAAACGGTCAATGCAATGAACTCCTTTTCTAAAGGGCTTATAAAAATGTAAAACGAAGACTTACCAAGGAGAAGTGTTTTATGTGGAATTGGCAGTTGTTTAGTTGATATTAGAAGTAGTAATACTTGGTATTAGAACATGATATCTTAAGGCTTTTAAAATCTTGTGTTCTTAGATGTATACCATGCCGTTATAGTCCAACATGGTCTTACAAATCATTTTATCTCTTTTTTTTTTGTCTCTTGTTTTTTGCTTTTTTTTCCCCCGATACAAGAAGTCTCCTTTACAGACAATAGGTGAAGAACAAACCCAGAACCCCTACACTGAGTTGCTTGTACTGAAAGCTCACCATGATATTGTACGATTTCTGGTAGAGTTAGATGACTACAGGTAAGAAATTCTAGTGTCTAATTGACTGTTGTTTGGGAAATTGACTATTTTAGGGAATTTCGTGTTAAACACCTTTAAAATTAATACATCTTTTCTAAAAATGTTGAAACTGTGATCATTAGTAATATTTAGTAGAAATTGAAATTGGCCTCTGCATCTTGATGAAATATGTATCTGGAGTCTTTTTTGCCCAAAGTCAGGGTGTCATGTCTGGTGGTTTGAGGGTTATGTTTGTTTGTTTGTTTGCATTCTCAGAAATACTCTTGTTAGTTTAAAAGAATTGTATGACTTTAAAATTTGGGTATATTAAGGAGAACTTGAATTTGAGAAACAAATATGATAAATGTTTATCAGGTACCTACCAGGAATGTTTTATTTTTAGTGGAAGATAAGGATTTAATCCAAAGTTTTTGTTATTGATGAAACCACTTTAAAATATACATTATTCTGTACCTCCATGCTAACATCTATAATAATTGTATTCAATATATTTGCAAACAGTGGTGAAGGTATATAGGTTTTAGGACTGTAGACTATTATTGATCTGTATATCTGTATATTAAACCCATATTCAACTATATATTTATCCTTTATAGCATGTTTCACCATAACAATTACATGATTAATGGTGTAACTCAATATTTTCTTCCTCTCTAAAACGTAAACTTCATGAGAATAAGGCTATGTGTTTCTTATTCACTAAGTATTTTTAGTACCTAGTACAGTGCCTTACGTGTGGCGGATAATTCTCAGATGGTGGCTGAGTGAATGAATGACTCCCCAGACTACTAAGCATCCGTGTTGGATGCCATCCTAATCCCCCAACCTTATTTCTGTTGTCTTCCAGTTTTTCCATTTTCATCTCTACTTTTCTCTTTTGCCTTTGCTGTTTTTTCCTTTCATTTTTCACTCCATGGATGAGTGCTACTGTGATTATTCCCAACTGACTACCACTTCTGCTGTATATTAACCTTGTTTTTTCTCTGCTTTTTTAAAAAAATTAAATTTTATTTTATTTTTTTAAATAGAGACAGGATCTCACTATATTGTCCAGGCTCATCTCAAACTCCTGGGCTAAAGCTGTCTTCCCACCTCGGTCTCCCATAGTGTTATGATTACAGGCATGAGCCACAGAGAAGGTACCCTGCCTTCTCTCTGCTTTTTAAATGTCATTGGTATTTAGTTGGTTTTACTAAATGCAGTACAGTTAGTTCTGACACAACTTGGAGTTTAGTCAAATTCCACTGGTGAAGAATCTATACAGTACCCCTCATCAGAGACACTAGCCGCAAGCCCTGTATGGGTTTGTAAGCTGCCTGTATTTCCAACTGCTGACTACAAATTCCCACTGTCCTCTCAGGCCTGATAATTCACTAGAAGGACTCACAGAACTGAGAAAATCACTATATGTAGGATTACAGTTTTATTATAAAAGATACAAATCAGGACTGGCCAAATGAAAGGATGTATATAGGGCGATGCGAGGTCCAGGGCATCCCACATGCAAAGCTTCCGTGTCCTAAAGACTTCTTGCCCTCTTGGCACATCAATGTGTATCACCAATGACTGAGCACACTTGAGCTTTGGGTATCCAAAGCTTTCATTAGTAGGCATGAGTGTTTGAATCACTGGTCACATAATTGAAGTCAATCTTAAGTCCCTGCGCACCCCCCATTCCCCCCCCCCCACCCGACCCCACTGGTAGCACAAAGCCCAAACTTTTAAATCACTTGGTTCATTTTTCCAGCTTGGCCAGCCCCTTTCCTGATGTTATCTCAGGGCCCACTGTGAGTTGTTTCGTTAGCATACCGTTAGCATAAACACAGGTGTGGTCCAAGGGATCCACCATGAATAATGAAGACATTCTTAACACTTGGAAAATCCCAAGGGTTTAGAGACTCTCTTCTAGGAACTTGAGACAAAGCCCAGCAAAATTATTATACAATACTGTACTGCTTAACTTTTTCTTGAAAATATTTGTCTCATGTGTATTATTGGCCTGTCAGCCCTGTTTTCCTGTTGTGATGCAAGTAAACCAAATGATGACATGTTAAACAGTTAATCATCTGCAGCCTCTTTTGGCAATATTGTTGCTATGTCCTGAGAGACACTCCATTTATTTAAGTGGTCATTTTTGTGAGGAACTAATTATTTCTGGAAAAGTAGGATTTTGGAGAGCTAAAGTTTTCTTGTGCTATATTTTACCCTAGTAAGTTGCTAGATTAAAGAGAATCTGATAACTTTTTATAATCACTAACCTTTGTGTGTAAGGAATCCTAAAGTTACTTTGTCTAGTAAAGTTAAATAATAAATACACAGTACTTGATCAGGTTGTGGACTTTAAATATTTATGTAAATTGTTAAGAGTCCATGTTCATTTTTACCTTTTCTCTGTAAAATATCCTCTTGGCTGTTCCTATCCCATAGGAATAGTTAGAAGACGACTCTGTAGAAGAGGCTAGCCTGTAGAATAATGGTTAGTGTACAAATCCTGACACGGTGGTGCTCACATACACTTTAGTTGTTTAACGATAAATATTCTGTAAAGAGTAAAAAGCCATATGTGAGTGTGTCAGTTATCTATTGCTCTATCAGATATCATGCCCAACTTAGTGGCTTAACACAACCCCATCTATTTAGCTCATTATTCTGCCAGATGGCAGTTTAGGCTAGGCTCAGCTGGATGAGTCTTTCTTTGCACTAGGAGCTGCTGATCTTGGCTAAATTCACTTATGTCTCTGTCAGCTGTTAAGATTGGTGGGGACTGGCTGCTTCATGAAGGCCTTAGCTGAAATGACTGTGGCCTCCCTCCACGTGGTTTCTCAGGTGCTTTTTCACATAATGATTGTGTTCTAATAGCAGCAGCAGGACAAGCCCCAAAGTAAGACATTTTTCAAGTCTCAACTTGCATCACGTTTGCTGCTGTTTCATCAGCCGAAGCAAGTTAGGAGCTGGTACAAATTCAGTGAGTTGGTAAAGAAACTTGACCTCTTAGTTACCTCTTAGTAGAAGTAACTAAGTCCTATTGCTAATGGTGGTGGGACTATTGGAAGAGGGAATAATTTGTGGCCAGTTTGCAGTCTATCACATTGAATCTAAGATGGATGAAAAAGCTTTTGGCTTTTGTAATTCAGTAATGACACAACTTCATGATTCATATTTAATTCTTTAAAAAGTCATTTTCAAAATTTCCATATAATCAAATATGAAGTTTTTCAGTCATTTGCTGACCTATGCAACTTGCAGTCTGTGTGTTGTTTTTTAAAAATTTAATTCTATAATGTACTAAAAAAAAATAAAAGAGTCATTCTTGGTAAGAAGGACACAGGAAAATCTATAAAATATAAACATATTATGAACAGAATTAAGAACTGAACATTTTTACTCTTAATAGTTTAGAATTATCATTACCATTGCATATGTACATTATGCATTATCAGATTAGAGAAATACCTTTCCAATTTTAAAATTTTATGTCATTATATGTTTTTCGTTTCTTATTTAGTTTTTGAAGACATTACACTCTGGGTTTTTTTGGTCAGCTGTTATAATCCAGATTTCACGCTTCAAGTCTTTAGATAATATCATCTTATTGAAAATTTTGCAGAAGGATTTTCTTGTTTTCTCGGAGGCTCAGTTAAAATCAGTGAGTGGAAAATTTTCTCAGATTGGTTTTTGAACCAATTTATTTGATACCCAATAAATCCTGTATAACGTAACAGACAGCTGCCTTTTCTTTTCTTCTTTAGTAGTTTTTGAACATGAAGTGAGGGTCATATTGATTGGGAGATCACTAAGAAGGCTAAGCCTCAGCAAGAGTCTTCCAAAAAATAGACTGTGCTAAAATTGCATGTAATACTCTAGCATTGGACACATTAAACTAAACTGGGTTCATAACACATTTTAAGAAGAGTTTTCTCTGTTGCTCCTTTTACCATTCCTTGCTTCTTCAGGAAACAGACAAGGTTATGTAGGATGGTGATCATGACTGGAAAAGAATCAGATGACCCATGAAGTGCCAGACTGGAGAACAAAATGTGCCTCTAGGATGGTTGGTGAAGGTGCACATTCACAAGAAAGGAAATAAACTCAGTATAGCTTGATAGTCTACTAAAAATGAACAATATGCCCATTTTTAAGGAAATACTCTCAAGCCAAACATATTTTTTCTTATATACTAACCTTCAATAATTTAGACCCTTCTAGTATCTGGGTTCTCTGGGAAGCAGATAGTATAGTTTAGATCCTTCTAATATCTGGCTTCCCTGGGAAGGAGACACTAAAATGGGGTTAAGTGTGCAATAGGTTTATTAGAGAGAAAGCCAATGAAAGAAGGGAGGAAGCAGAATTAGACAAGGGGAGCTATCTTAGACTCAGATGCAGATGTGGCAAAGTCTCTGCCAGTCTCATGGGCACCTCTGGAGGAAAGGTTACTTTTTAGAGTTCTCTGCTGGAGAACTAGGGCTTCGTACTACTGCCTTGCTTAGTTATTTGCTGAGGGTCCTCCACTAAACATGCACCTGGCTTCTACCATCTTGCTTAAATCCCAGTGACTATGAGCCAACTGAGCTAGCATAACTTTGGCTTTAAAGTGGAAATGGATGCTGAAGTCAAAAGCTGCAGGCAGTCAAATAACTATATTCTTGACAGGAAAAACAGCTGGGCAGCGAGTCCTCTCTTGAAAGGGGGTCTGCCACACTTCCATAGTTGCAAGTTGGTCTATTTTATTTTTAAATTACAAGAACACACTCATTGACTATGTCTTTGGGCAACTTTTTAAGAAACTGTAAGTATGCCATTGGTTAATAGTTATTTGATGGCTTAAAGGTTAATGTTGTTTTTAGAGCTATTAACATACTTACACCTGGAAAAAAAAAGTATAAGCAGAATCCTTTTTATCACAAATTCCAACAGCTACAGTACTAGTAACAGACTACATATCTGGTAGTTTTTTTAAACACTTATATCCCATGTGACATTGACTTTAGACAGCTTTATTT